TTTAAGTGAATTTATGATATTAAAATAATAGATATATATTAGTCAAATAACATTAAGAGCCACCTGGCCTCCTAAGATACCAGAGGAGGTGGGTTTTGAGGTCATACAAATTGGAAAACTACTATTTAATACCAACGGACCTAGAGCAAAGAAAGTTGTTTTGTTTAACCAAGCATTTACCAAACTTATTTGAAAATAAAACCCCTTTTTCGTATGAGAAAACTTTTCAACATGCTTTGAAAATATTGGTGGAAAGAAAGCGGACACTTTAGTTGTTCTAGTCCTGGCTCAGGCGTTAAGCAACATCGTCATTCACTCAGCAAACACTTAAGGAGTGGCTACCTTTTGCCACACACCATTGGAGGCACTGGTAATATATACAGGGAACAAACCAGCCAAAAGCCTCTGTCTTCCCAAGGATTATCTTACATCAGGGAAGAAAGACAATAAACAAAATCTGTGAATAGTATATTCACTAAGTGCTCCTGACAAACGTAGAGCAGAGCAAGGGGGCTGGGAGTACTGGAGTTGCAATTTTAAATAGATTCGTAAGCTGAGCCTCTCTCTGTCCCTTTTCTATAAAATGAAGAAATTGGACTAGATGATCTCAAAGGCCCTGTCAGCACTGTGGGTCTGCGTTAAAGACCAATCATTATCACGTCAAGCGTGGTACTGCTGGGTCACCAGCTCATCTCATTGAGTGTTTACAGTCACCCTGGCAGAAAAGATTCGATATTAAAACTCATAGAATTACTATCCAAGAAAAGCTTCTGTAAGTTTAAATCATTTGTAATACCCATAAGAGAATAAAGCATTTATTTTAAATAATGTAAAAAAACCAACCAACAAACAAAAAAGCCTTGATAGTTAGTCTTGTATTTAATCTGGTGTGTTACCTCAACCCAATACTGAGTATAAAGTATTAAACTAAAGGTTAAGGAACCACTGCAGTAAAAGTACCAATGGCTTTTAAGCAGACGTTAGCACGCCTGTGTGAGAAATTTGCAGAGTGTGCACATTGCATTTCTGCCCTACATCCTTGTGTAAATAGGAGATCCTTGACTTGATGTTGAAATGACCTTTCAGACAGTATTCCATTGCCACATGCCTAAGCTTGTATCTTAGAATAATTAGAAGCTTTGACTTACAAATCTTGGTATACAGTGTTTATGTTAATTATAAATGTCTGAAAGTTTCCTGAAACATTTTCTTCATAGCTTTTTATCAAAGACAGACTGGAGTTTGGAAGGAAGGTTGTGGATTCTGGTCCTAAATCTTTGATTTTCAATCTTTCATTTTTGGAATAAAATTTAAAATCTACTTTTCTAGTTGCCCTGAACAGGATGGTACATTTTTTATATTCTTCTTCTTGAGTAAGAAGCTGTTTGGAATCATAGTCTTTGATACTTTTAAAATATTTCATTCTTAAGGCATTTAGCTAAAAATTTGAAGTAGACCATGGACCCCTAAATATAAAGGTATTCTCACTGATCTATAGAAAAAAATTAAAATTGAGAAGTTCCTATCATGCAAGGATACTCTTCCAAGATTGCTTCCAAATGGGACCTCAGAATTCCTTTTCCAATATTGGCTAGCCCGGTCCCTAGAAGTGGACTCGATGCCCTCCAATAACAGTCATTTCATATTTACCTTCCTTTCATAGTTCATAAATTCAGAGGCCAGTTTATAAGAAAATGTGACCATTCTGGAAGAAAGGGCTGACTCCTATTTCACTGTCTAGACAAGCTATGGAATAGCTTGTCCTGTATGTCAGAGAGATGAGTGATGAGTATTCTCAAGTTTCTCTCCTGTCTAGTCTCTGAGATGACTCATTTGTCCCCCTTGATTAGACAAGGTCTCAGATCCCACCTTATCTGTGACCTTCAGCGGTCCCACAGGCTCTGATCCATCCTGAGGTCCCCTTGGTTTATTTCTGAAGCCTCCTTTCCCTCCACCCCACCCCATTGCCTGCCCTAATTGTTATGCACAACCTGCTCTTTCCCCAAGTCTGTCTCTTGCTGTACTGGCCATGGGGTCAATTTGTTATGCAGACTTACCAGCTATCAACATCCATTTATACATCCATTTCATTCTTAAGAGTAAATTTAGATATTGATACAAATAAAATTTTTATCTAACTTGTACCATCTTCAGGATATTAGGTATACTACATCTATAGACCATGCAGTTTAATTTAAGCTTTTGAAATTTTAAAGATATAAAGATCACTTGGTGACATCTTGCTCTCAGATCTTTTCCAAGCAAAGCCTGAGATTAGGTCAGTCTATACGATCTGCATTGCTGCTGCTCTGTAAACCACTGACGAAAGCCACATAGAAACATGTTCCCTCATCATTCTTCAACCTCCAACATCAACCCCACTCCCACACCTGGAAAAAATGCAAGATTCACTCTCGGGTCCCAAAGTGAGTATGATTTGCCCTGAGGACTTCCCCTGGCTCCAGGCACACACCACTCACACACACATACCCCAAAGTGAGAGAGTGGGTAGGAGAGATTGTTGAGAAGTTCAGCTGTCATTCTCCATCATACTATCTTTCTTCCACAGAACTGAGGACAAAGATTGCTTGTCACTGATAGTTAGCAGCCTGAGAACTTTATTAACATGTGTGGTATATGTAAGAATAAAGAGAAATGGTAGGGATTACAAGCACTCTCCAGATAAGTGTTACTGTTTGTGTTTGTTTGTTTGTTTGTTTTAAATTAAAACTACACTAATTCTTTTTAAATTATTATTGCCAATGACGGTTTTGGAACTTACTAGGAGAATAGAATTCCTAGAGACTAGCTACAAAGATTTGTTTTCTTTATCCTGAAGTGATCCTTCCTCGTTTCCAGAGTTCATTCATAGTAAATTAGTATTTTTTCAAGTCTATAAATATCTATCTATGTATCTGCCTATGTGTATAGAAAGAGAGAGAGAAGACATTCCAAAAGAAGTACTTTTTTATAACTCCTTTTACTCCATTTGCTTATTGTTGGCTTTGTAATGTTTAGGAGAGGTTGCAGAAATCAATTTGTAGTAGGTATCCCCTCTTCACATTCTCTCAGTGGCTCAATATACTGTAAATATGGCTCATGCACACTTATTTACTTTCAGTGTCTTGTGATTGGAAGTTAAAAAACTGGATTGTGTTTTAATAAGTTAAAGTGGTTCCTTTTTTTTTTTTTTTGGAAATAAAATGGATACTTTTATTTCTTTAAATATACCATTTCCCCCTCCACTTCCTTATTAATTTTCAGAAGTCAGTGAAGTCAGAATTCTCTGACTTCTCTTCTAAGGGACTGACTGACTTCTATTTCTAATCCACACTTTTTCAACCTCAGCCCAACCGACATTCTTTGTTGTGTGGGCTGTCCTGATGTATATTTAAAGGCAGAATAAATTAAGACTTGTACACAAAGTTCCAGCATTTTAGAACTAGGGGAAATAAAAGTAACTTTAGGGACCCCAAAAGATACAATTTATAGAGTAAATAATAAATGTAGAAGTTCATTACTCTAGGAGTAGAAGCTAATTTGAAATTAAGTCAAAGGTAGTTTAAATTCATGGATGATGAAGCTCTGTGGAATATTATCCAATATTCAACATCTTTGGTGAAATTTCGTCTTTCGAAGCTCTACATTATTCTTCTGAATCTCCTTTGAAAAGATGTTTTTATTTGACTTATTATTCATTCTCTTAACAAATATTTATTTCATGTCCACTATGTGCCATATACTGCAAATTGTCCCCTTTCTTACCGTTCTTTGCTTTTTCAGGGATGGGGTGTGTTTTGGAACTGGTGGCTCCAATTACTTTTCTGAAGGTCCAATGTTTGAAGTCAGAGTTGCAAGATGCCCTGTAGGGCCAAGCAGAGGTCATACATGCTCATGTTTACTAACGCATGAGCACCACACGCAGCAGCCAGTTAACTCTGAGTCTTAATCTTCCAGCCATGGGAAGGACAGATTCGGAGGAGAAGAATGAGAATTATAAAACACTTTCCCCTCCCTACCTGTCTACCAAATTGCTAAGACGGTGTATATTTGGGGGCTGGAGAGCAGGATATCATATTTTACATTCGTGCCAACAAATCCTCTTTGTAATTATCACCATGGTGCCCCCTGAAGACCCAAGGGAAGAAAGATCTCAGGAACTGGAAAGGGTGGAGCAGTTCAAAGACGGTGAGGAGGCTCCAGTTCAGTTTTTCACAGATGTTTATTGAGCTTCCACCATGTGCCAGGAATATGTGCCCAGGGCAGGGGCTCAGTCATCTAGAGCCACACTGTCCCTTCACTCATGGGGTTTTCCATCTGGTAGAGAAATCAGTCTTTGAGCAAGAACATAGAAAACATACGCCTGTCCCACAGAGTTCCCTGGGGCTCAGCCCTGGAGTGCCCTGCGGAATCATTTCTGTAGGCCTCTCACCCTGTTTTGTAAACATAAGGATGTATACTGGGATTTCATTTCAGTGTGAGTGTAATTATAGCATTCACCTTATGCTGCTAGTTTTTCTTCAAAAATATTATTCAAAGTAGCAAGATTTAAAATACGTACATAATAAGAGAACAAAAGATTGGGATATGGATTCTATCTTAGATAGCATTTAAATATATACAAGCTATTCAGCAGGGGTCCTGTCAGCCAGACAGACCCTGTAGAGCTCAAAAGAGGACAAACTTTTTGGCCAGTTCACTAAGAACTCTCATGGGAACTGTAATCATTTGCTCATTTGCAATGAAGAGGGTTCCTCTCATAAACCGCTGAGGAGAAGTGAAGGCTGGCACTTAAGGGTAAAAGGTGGAGAGGAGAATGTAGTGAGTTGTAAGCACACTTGCTAGATTCCTTGAATGATTTGGTAAAATAAATGCTATAAATTTAAATGCACAATAGGGTATAAAAATGAACATGATTTGAAAAACTGTAAGTCAGCCATCAGATCAGTTTATGGAAAATTTATAATTTGAGATGTTTTTCTCTTCTTCTCCCTTTTTAGCTTGTCAAAATTCCCAAAAATGATCCCCTCAATGAAGTGCATACATTTAACTTCTATTTGTCGAATGTGGGTAAAGACAACCCTCAGGGCAGCTTCGACTGCATCCAGCAGCGGTTCTCCAGGTCAGTACATTTCAAGGTATACCAGAGGGAAAATGATTTTTCTTTGAGGGTTTTTAAAAATTAAACAATAAAATACATAGTAGTCATTTATAAGTATTTATTTAATTGAATGGCAAAGCTTATTTATTTATCTGAGAAATATTGAGTGTCTACTCTGTGCTAGAAATTATGTTTATCACCTTGGAATACAATAAAAAAAAATTTAACATTCTTGCTCTCGAGGGATTTTTAAAGTACAGATTTTCTTTCCTATGAAACATGGTTTGTTTGCTTGTTTTCATTAAAGACAAGTGTGGGGATTTTTAAAAAGTTTTTATTCATGGTGTACACTCAAAACTAGCATTCAAGGACAAAGGAGGAAACAAATCCTATCTATATTATATATTCCCTTTCTTCCCTGTGTAAACCTTGTTTTAAGGTAGATTTTTAAAAATCGTCATTCTCCAGCAAAATGGAAATTAGAAATTAACCTAGTATAGCAGTCATTTCTGATTTTTTTTTTTTAAGGAGGAAGACAAGAATACACACCCACATCCTGGGGTACCATGGAACTCTTATCTTACTTAGATTCTCTGTAAACAATAAGCTACTTGTTTCATTCTTCTTTGCTGTGGTTGTTTCTGATTAAAGAATGGACCCCTTGAGTGGGGGGAGTTTGTTCTGCCTGTGGATAAAGACAAGGCCTTAGAACCCCCAGCCTTCAGGGGGATACTGATATTGGCCCAAAGTGCCCTGGGCCACCCATCCCCATCTCTGCTCTGTGCTGTACTTGAAACTTTGTAAGTGCCTGCTGTGCATGGGAGAAAGACAAAAGGGCGGCTGTGTTTCAAGGGAGCACAGTAGGCAGAGATATAAAATAAGACATCACTGAAAGAGTTCTAAATTTCTCCTCTTATTTAAGGTGGCTAACTTTTAATCTGCCTTTTCCCCTGAGTATGTTAATTTTGCTTTCTAAAATTTGCCTGCCTTTGAACTTACATTTTTGGTATAAATTGCATATGTTATAGATGATATAGACCTTTCTGCAGTATTCACTGATAGCATCTGGCTACATGTGGCTATTTACATCTCAATAAAAATGAAATAAAATTAAAAATTCACCTCTTCACTCACTAGCCACACATTGCAGGCTCCATAGCCACATGTCTAGTTGCTATCATAGTAGACAGCACAGATACTAATTTTCACCATTGCAGAAAGTTCTGTTGGACAGTATTGCAATCAATTATAGAATTAACAAGTGTAGCAATCCTTGGTAATTGTTTAGTTCAACCCCATCTTTCCACAGGTGACTTACCCACAGTTACATAGCTGGTTAGTTAGTGAATAAGCTGAATGAGAACTGAGTTCTCCTAACTTTCAGTCCAGCATTCATTATATACCACAGGGCACACTGATCTCTAATTGTGGTACATTCACCTGGAATGCTTGTCTTTACAGAGTTTTTTGATTATAGTGATATCATTTTGACATCAAATTGAACTATGGTCCCATTAAGAATTTTATTAAGGAACTTAATTCCCTCTTCAAAACCAGTCATATCATCATAAGTGATATGGTTTCTCCCTTTCATCACAAATAATACCCTATGTGTTTATTTTGACCCTGCTTGCTTGGAGAAGGATTTAAGGTCACTCCAAAAAAAAAAAAACACACACACACACAAGAAACTATACATGACGAAGCAAGATAAAACAAATAATTATTGTGAGAAAATTAGGGCAAACCGAAGAGTGCTTTATAAAAAGTATAATCTCAGGTGCTATATGAAATGGCATGGTATGGCGGTAAATTGAAATTTGCCCTGAAAAACAAAAGCACTCAAACTTCAGTGCTCAACCTGGCAAGCAGACCTTCTCATAATCTGTATCTATCTTTCCTATTTGATTGAATTTTTATTTTCCCCATGGATTCTGTCTCTCATGCAGTTGTGCAAGCTCTTCCTCAAAGGCAGGGGCTTCCTTATGCCCTTTTTCTAGTCTAACAATGCTGGGGGAACGCATATTAATTGTTAAATAAATGGGTGTTCAAAAATTACATATTAATTAGCCTCCTTTCTTATCTTTCTTTTAAAATCTCCTTAAGCTACACTTTTATGTAAAATGGAGGAAATCCCAAAGTCAAAATTACCTTTCAAAAATTCCTTAAATCTGCCCATTCTCAGACCTAGTGAAAATACGTAGTTTGGGGCTTACAGCCCTGTAGAGTATTGCACACTCAGGCATGCGAAAACAGTGAGCTAGGACAGAGAAAGACTATAGGAATGCGTATACCCATATATCCAAGTATTTAAACTTTGAAGGTAACTCAGTTGAAAAGGGATGAGTGAAGAAGTCTAGAGAGTACCATCTTGCCTGCAGGGTTTAACTGTTTAGTTTTCATGTAAAGATGTATTCCTTGATCTTGAATTGTGTAAACTATAACTTCATTGTGATTGGCAACAGGTTGAGCTTATTCTCGCTGTGGAAATTACTTAGTAAGTGCACGTGTTGAAATTTGAACTTCCTGCCACCAGACCCTCCATACTGCAATCGTTTTTTTTCCTCTACTGCAATTTTCTATTCCTATTCTTCCTTCTCCATCCCAATTCCCCTGAGAGTTAAACCCCACCCTTCCTTCTTCCTTCCCCGCCTTTTACCGGTTTTTCAGCATTCATACATGCTCAGATGAGTGTCATTTAAAAAAGAAAATAAAGACAATTTCCTTTGCAGTCACTTCTGGAGCCAAAACCTGGCTTCAGTCCCCACCATTACACTGAAACTGCTCCCCGATGGGGGCCTTGACCTCCTTGCCCTGAGTCCATCGAATGGTATTAGTTTCTTCTTAAGATATATTTGTTGCCAGCATTTCACACTATTGACCACTCTCTGACTCTTGAAGCATTCTGTTCCAGTGGCTCCTATGCTGCCTGTCTGGCTGTGCCTGTTCAGTCTCATGCAGTCTTCTTATCTTCCTATTGTTCATTTTAAATATTAGTGTTCTTCACAATTGGCTCCCTCCCGAGATGTCTCCTCATTTCTTCAAAGTCACTGTGTCCAACACTGACCTTATTTTCTCTCTTCCATCCCTACCACGTTGTCTCAATAAATGGCAGCCGCACGCACCTGGTAACCTGGGCATGATCTTTAACTTCTGTCCCTTGCCCTCTCCTCCTATGGCTAATGACTGAACAAATCCTATCAATTCTGCCTCATCACTGTCTCTGGAACCTGTTAATTATTCTGCATTCACACCGCCCTACACTGTTTCAAGTCCTCACTTCTTGCCTGTAATTCTTCAGTAGCCTCCTAACTGCTCTCCTGCTTTCCCTCTTGTGCCCCGTCCCTCCCAATTTGTCCTTTCTCCAGATTGATCTGTCTACAATATAAATGAGATATTTTCTCTCCCCTATTTTCAGCCCCAGTTATTCTTGGGATAAAGTCCAAAATCCATGCCATGACCTCCAAAGTCCTGTGTATTATACTTCTCCTGTGCTATTCAGCCTCATCTCCAATTGTCCTTTATATTCTCTTTAACTTAACTGAAAAACTCCTCCTTGCTCCCCAAAGCATGCACAGGTTGGTTGTCCTCCTAGAGCACTTCTGTCCGTCCCCCTTGTCTAGTCATCCCTCTAGAGCACTCGGGCATGATTTCTTCTAGGAAACTTTTGCCTCTCTCACAAGTCCAGGTGAAGTACTTTCCTGGGTGTTCCTTGCCCCTGGCGTTTGTCACATTATGTTGTAATTTCCAGTTTGTTCATCCTTATCACCCATTAGATGGAGAGCTCCTTGAAGGAGGGACTGCATCTAACTCAGTTCTTGTCACAGCCTGTGACACATTGCCAGGCTTGTAGTCCCTGCCCAATAAATATTTATGAGATGAACGAACTGATTTTTTAAAATAGTATTTGTACAGTTATTTACAATATATAAAAATTTTACAAACCTTATTTCTTAGCATCATTACAAAGCTATTTCCTATTAAGTTTGGAAAGAGTATCAGAGCTGTAGTGGCATTTTCATTACTTTTATAGTCTAATCTGTTTTAAAGCCATAGTAATTTCTTTTTAAAATATCAGTGTAACTGTTACTATGATCACCTAATATTAGCATAATACTTCAAAACTGAGCTATCTTCTGGGCCAGTATTAAGTTAATATCCATGATTATTTAAATAAAAGTTTTTTAAAAATATTCCTGCCAAAATCTCTTGTCCAATATTCTCTTGAATATTTGCTATATAAATAGGTCATCTTATACAGAGATTTAACAAAGTGGTAAATATAAATTATACAAATATTTAGGATCATTGGGCTATTAAAATAAGCTTTAATGTTTGGCAATATTCTAGCTATCAAATGAATATCTTATTAAAAATAAAAAGAATTGTGGTATGTCTGTTTTATCTAGTCAGTTCTAAAACATGCATATTATTGTTCCACTAAAAGTAAACTTTTAACATTTCTCATATTGGTGGTAGCTAATTCTTAAAAATAGTTAGCTGTTAAATAAAAGAACTATACTGCCCATCAGGATTCTGGTATTCACTCCAAATGCTGATTTTTTTCAAAATTTCATGGATTTGGTCTTTGAGAGCTCTCTTCATTTATTCACTTCCACAATATTGGGGAGGTGGGGGAGGAATGTGACATGAAGAGAGAAAATCAAATATTTTAAATAATATTTACATTTAAAAATTACTACTATTAGTTATTTTAGGATTTCAAAGTTATTTGGGTTGCTGAAATTTGGATTGTACAATTCTTGCTTGCACTTCTTTGTGCAAAATGGGGGGCATCTCTATTAAAGCCATTGTCTTACTTGACAGCTCTGGAGCCTCCCAGCTCAATTGCCTGGGATTTATACAAGATAAAATTACAGTGTGTGCAACAAATGACTCGTATCAGATGACACGAGAAAGAATGACCCAGGCAGAGGAGGAATCCCGCAACCGAAGCACAAAAGTTATCAAGCCTGGTGGACCATATGTAGGTTTGTATTGATATCTTTCTTCTTGCTGATTGATTGGAATAATTCAAGATCACTGTAGGTAAATACTGGTAATTTTAACTTCATGAAAATACAAAGATTAGTTTTCAGAACATTTTGGATTACATATTAAAAGGTCATATGTTCTCTTCAGACTGCTGGTTAACTGAAGAACAGATTTAAAGCGTTTATTTCGTTCATGAATCTGAATCCTGTGTTGGCTATTTGTTATTATTTACAATATTGGGATCTGGTCAAGTTTTTTTACTGTGTGGTGTTGTAAAAATGGTACCATTGTGTGTTCTTTGTCATTGGATGAGTAATTTCAATGGTGGATGGTATGGTTTCTGTTTTGCACTTTGGCCAGGTTGATCTTTCAAAAAAACCTATTAGTAGGATTTATGAGTTGAAAACCTTATTGTCGCAGCTTTTACTTACATGTTCAGAGGGTCTTTGCACAACAGTGAATTTTTATTACAAAAGTGTAAGCTGTGCTTATCGCAAGCATTAGGGCGATGCCTCCTTCGTTTCTCAATTGTGATGTCATTTATGGATCCTCATCCTCATCCATTAATTAAGAGCCTGCCCCACTTCCATTATGTTTATCATCAGCTCACTCAAATATCCATCATATTGAAGGGAAGGAAGACCCAGCCAGCAAGATGAATCTCTCCTTTGTGAGCCATGACCCTAACAACTGTAAAGAGTTCATCCACAGTGACTATCAGAAGTATTAAAGGGAATTATCAAGAGTGAGAATGAGCTCCTCGAAGCCTTGCTCAGTTTAGTAACACAAGTCACTGAATAGTAAATGATGAAAAGATACTAGTTTGGAAATATGAATGCTCACAAAGAACCAAATCCCTTAATCAGTATTTTCCCATGGTTTGGTAGAATTCTGCTTCTGTATTTTCCCTTGCTGACCCAGCTACAGTACATTTGGCTGTGAGAAGCTCCACTAGTATCTCTAATAAGTATTTCTTTGGAACACAGCCAGTGCTCCTGGGACCCGGTGCTTAGCTTAGATACATTTAGTTTGGTTTAACAACAATTCATGACCTCCCCAGGTATCTATACCCACTGGGGCCCAGTTCCCTGCCCAGTAAGTTGGCAGCAATGAGATTTTTCACCTTCCCTTTCCTGCTGAGTGAGGTAGCAACTTCCCTCCTTCTTTCTTTTCCTTTATCTTCACAAGTAACTTCATTAACTTCCTGTGCTAGTAGGCTAAATCTCACATTATTTTTGAAATGCACAAGATCTATTGTACTTTAGTTTAAGTGCAAGCTATGAATTTGCTGTCCCTGTTGCTTTGAAAGTATTTTTATTCTGTACAACACCACCATTTTATAAATAGTGAGACAAGTTGGTGTGTTTGACAAAGAAATAGAAGACTCAAGCCATCAAAATGATTTTTTTCTCCCAATATAACTAGCTGAAAACCCTTATCTTGATTTATTCCAAAGCTTGAAAATCAGCGATGATTACTGTATCTTTCCACTGAATGATCCTTGGGTGTCCCCTATGTTAATGTGTTTTTATTTGTTTTGATAGGGTCAGGCACAGTTCATTTGCAGCTTATACAACAGGCTTTTCAACACCCAGAATCTGTAGACCATATACTTCCTAATGGGATGGGAATTTTGTAATTTGCAGGGTTTCTTATAGGCACTACAAATAATTTATGTACATTTTTGGGAGTGACCCACATGACATTTGAGGCTATCTAAGTCTTACTCTGAACTAACACACCTCTGCCGTTTGGAAGCGCCCCTGCAAAGATCTCTGCCTCCCCAAGCCCTCTGTTTAGTCTGTTCCTCGGTGCTGTGTCCTCGGTGCCCCAGCCACTCACCATCACAGCGCAGCATTTCTTTTCTGGTCTTAAATCTTGTCATTAACCTCCTCAGCCTTTTATTCTCTGGTCAAATAACCCCCAGCTCCTTTTAACTTTTCTTAATATGGCCTGTACCCCAACCCTTTAATTATTTTTATTGCTCTCCTCTGTGCTGCCTCCAGTTCTTCACCTCAAAGTTCAAAACTGGACACGCTCTTCTTAAGAAAAGTCTCATCAGTTCTGAATAGAGGGGAGAAAAAGACTAGTATCTAGATTGACGTTTTGGTTGTTTTAGATTTTTTACTGTTCCTTATTATGGCATGTTTTGATTTTTTTTTCTTTTAATTTTATCCATTGTCAGTCCTTTACCATATTTCTTTCCTTCTAGATAGCTCAATCTTCCCACATTTTTCAGTATCTCAAAACTATCTGACTCATTCAGTTCTTTAAAATGCAGTCAGTCCCCCTTCAGTACTACTAGGCAACACTTAACTGAGTGCTTGTGATGTACAAGGCACTGGTTAGCATTTTACGTCACAGTCACCCCATGACATAGGTTATAATTATTTCTCCTTTTACATATCAAGTTGTTGGTGTTAGCAAATAGCAAATGAAATGGGTTTGGCCTCACTAACAAGTTGTATTATTTTCTGTAATTCATTATTGAATACGTCACATAAAACGATACCAAAAGCTCACCTATGCCAGCTTAGAGGTACCTGCAGAATAAGATTTCTTTCAACAGCATCAGCCTAGGTAGAAGACAAATGGGAATAATGCTAGTCCCATTGCAGGGCTATGGGGGCATAGTGCCAGGACAGGCCAAGTTTAAGGGGATGAAGACTATGTTCCTAGGCATCACCTGGCCTAGCCACCCAAGAATATGAGCATCTGAAAGCCACTTGTGTGCCGAAAAGAACCAAAACCTATTTTGCCTGGAAAAGAGCAGGAGAGCCTTTTACCTAGAAAACATTATTTCTTCAGTAATATTTCCACTTCTGGTCATGGCATTTATATCAGTGATAAGCACTGTTGTGTTATAATCTTTCAGTTCATTAAAAAAAAGAAAAGAAAAAAATCACTAGTCACCATTGCTTCAGGTTTACTAGTATCTTAAGTCTTCTCACTGACTCCTACCGAAATTCTGGAGTTGTATGGAATTAGAAATTTGCACATGCTAATATTTATTCAGGTATAGAAAACAACCCAACCAGTCTAATTTCTCCATTTCTGTTCCCGGTTTTCCCAACTTCTGTCCCATCTTCCTTATTTCTGATGAGGTAGTGCATGTTTGAGCCTTGGACAAATCATTTAACATCTGTAGACCTTAATTTTCTCAAATTAAATAAGGGATATTTGAACTAGATAACATCTAAGGTTCTATGTAGTTTTAACATTTTGTGTCTGTTGTGTATATATCTGTATTTTGATAGTAAATCTTTTGAAAAGTGATCATAAATGCGCAGTGGCGCAGATGGATCCTGCCACAGTGGATCAGGTATTTAACCACGACAGCCACACCATCATGAGTCCTGCCAGCGTTTTTAAAGCCTTGGGTCAGTGTCAGTGTTGCCAGGGCTTTGGGTTGGTTTCCACAGAACAGGAAAACAGCTGCGGGAGATGGCTACAATTCTGCTCTCTTTCTGATGTACTGTTTCAAGATTCGTTTTCAGATTTACCCAGAGCCGCTATACGAAGGGAGAGATACTTCTACCATCTCATAAATGGAGAAGCTAGAAGAGGGCTCCTTGTTATGAAACAACGGTTTAGCTGTAGTCCCAGATTACCCAACCCTGTCGGACCTGCTGCTACTGTTTATATAGGGAGCCCTGGGAATTGATTAGCAGTTGCATCTGGGGAGGGAATTAGGTTCTCCCATAGGCTTTATTAAAAGGGCCTTTCTGAGACAAATGCAAAAAAATAAAAATAAAGCCTTTCCTCTGCCCACTTCGAACCTGACATTTTCCTGCTTTACTTTTTTGTTTTTCTTTAGCATGCAAACTCTTTAACTACCTATAGCACTGATGTTCTCTTCATCTGTAGGCTCTCTAACCTTAACCTGCCTGGTTCAATGGGCACAAATTGATGGGGAGTCTGTGAGCAAGTAATCTTTGCGTAAAACTCAGTGACCCAAGTGTGGCTAGATTGTTCTTTCAGTATGTGAAAGAAATGGATTACCCCACGGATGGCTTTTTAAAAGAAAAATAAGGTAAAGGTGAAGTGAGTATATTCGGGGTAGGAGATTCGTGGACTGATAGATAGATGACAGTCTAGCAGTAGGCCCCACATGCCTCGAAACTGTCATGTCCTGGACCGGATTCTAATTTCTTGTCAAATGTCATACTGACACCCCTCTTGAGGGCAAGTGAGCCTCCCTTATTTGTCTGCTCTGTGTCTCCTTCAGAGAGAGGTGGGGCTCTCCGGAGACTGAGGATCAGAGGTGGGTCAGACGTACAGAAGAGGTAGGGTGGCCCAGAGCACAATGGTACCACTGTCACTTGTGTTTTTATTTTTGTTTGCCTTCCTTGCTGGCTTGAATTCATCCTAAATGACCAGTCATGGTGCGTTGAGCTTAGCTAAACATTCTCTGCCCATCTCCCTCCCTAGAGAGTTGGAGTAGAGGTACCCCACAGTAACCTTGTTTGGGGAAGAGTGAGTTAAGAGCAAGTTAAACAGGTTTTAAGGGGAAGGGAGTGTGGAATTTATAGCATTTCCTAAACTTTTTTGATCCCAATCCTTTTTATTTTTACTTTTTTCCCAAGTCCCTAATAAAAATTCAAAAAATAGTGCTCTTTGTTAACACTATTGCAACTGAGAAATGGTGGAAAGTTTGCATTTGCCACTTTAGAAATTTCAGTGTCTTCTGCTTCTGGCAGTCTGGCAGTGTGGGAACACACACTGTTTTGATTGTGGCTCCTCTGCTCTCTACTTGCTCTCTTGCTGTCACTCACTTTGACACTTTGCTGGTTATTTCACTTTGCTAGTCATCAAATTCTAAGTCAAGATCTGGTGAGGGGCAAAACAGCCACAGCCCTACCTACATGGAGCTTGCAGCCTAACGTGAAGCGGCAGTAGACAGAAGGCATTTGTTCATAACACCTTTTCTGCAAAGAAGTACAAGTAGGAAAACATGGGTATCAATCATAGAACCTTCAAATGCTAGAGAGCACTTTACCATTTGAGCTTATCCCTTTGAAAACGGTCTCAGTTTTCCCACCTGTGGAATGGGACCAACACTGACCTTATCAGGGTACTGTGAGACTTAATGTGTGTAAAGCCCTTAGCACAGTGCCCTCCCAACACATAATTGGTGCATGATAACCAATTTCCTGCCCATCTCACAGCGATCTAGCTGTCTGTAAATTGAGAAAAATTCACAAACCAGATCTAAATTATCTCCCAAACTCTAACTGTACCTTAATTTAATAGCTTTTCTTATCATTGGGCAATGTCCCTTTAATGTCGAGTTCTTTTGTTGTGCAGTATTTTGATCTGATGTTTATAATTAGTTATGTCCAGATAGTAAAGAACTTTAAGAGCTGGTGAGCTCACTCCTCCTTTCCCATTACCTTAGGTAGTGTGGTATCAAACAAACAGCGCCTCTGGCCAGGCCTGGGGAACCCCGCAGGCACAGAATTATCATTCAGTAAATCTCCTCCATGAAGCCAGCCATTTTCATCCTTGGCCACAGCTTGTACTTATTGATTGTTTCTATTTGATAGACTTGTCCCTGATGCTGTTGTCCCACATTGTATGTCATTACCAGTTCTTTCCTGTCTGTAACCTCAGCGCATAGAGTTAGGGGCTTAGGGTATAGTAAATGAGTTGCGAGGTTACAGCTCAGAAATTATAAAATGAGAGTTTTATACTGTTTCATTCTAATTTCTGTTTCTTCAACAAGGAATGGTTACTAGGTGTTGTCAGTAACCTGCCTGATGGCTAGACACATCCACCTAGTATCCAGGTCACTTCAGTCCCGAATATTTTCTGGAAGTAACCACTTGCCAAACACTTGTGTTTGTTAAGTCTAAGCAGAAAGTGATGAATAGTATTGGCTTGTGCAGGAAAGATGTGAAATCTGCCTTTTTGCCATTTTCCTTTCCACTAACTCACCTGTGTAGTCTCGGAACCACAGAGGAGAGTCTTGCTTGTTCAGCCCTCAGAGATCTGTCGGTTGGTTGGTGGGTTGGTTTTGTTTTTACCTTTTGACTCCTAAAAGTTGATACAGCCTTTTGAAAAGGAATAGCACTCATGGATATCCTGGAGGATGTTGACCCCATGTTATGCCTGAGTCCCCTCTTTGTAGCTCGTAATCTAGGAAATTATTAAGGTAATACCCCAGCTCATCCAAGAGTGTGTTCTTAGGTACAAAAGGTATTTCTCCCATCCCACGTGTTTGCTGTATTTATATCTGCCAAAGAAATAATATATAAAAATGTGTATTTAAGTTCTGTAAATTTCCATTTAAAGTCAAATACCTACATCCTTAACTTTTCTAGTTTGTTGCTATGATGTGTGTCACTAATTATTATCTATGTGTAGATAAGTGGCCAAAATACTTCTATAATACATACTTATTTCACTAACTGATTCCTTCAAAAAATTCCTAGTTCATATTTTAGGCCATTCAGAACGCTTTCCATTTGCATATCTCTTCAAAATAAAATGTGAAGTAGTAGCATTGATTCCCTCCAGAAGTGAACAGGTAACCAATTCAGAGTTGTAAAAACTGAGGTGCTTATTACATTATTACCCCAAATGTGTAATGAATGTCATTTCCACTGGACTTTAGGGAAAAGAGTGCAAATTCGGAAAGCACCTCAAGCTGCTTCAGATGCAGTGCCTGAGAGGAAAAGGTCAACGCCCATGAACCCTGCAAATACGATTCGAAAGACACATGGCAGCAGCAGTGTTTCTCAGCGGCCATATAGGGACAGGGTGATTCACTTACTGGCACTGAAAGCCTACAAGAAACCTGAGCTGCTGGCTCGGCTGCAGAAAGATGGTGTCAATCAAAAAGACAAGAACTCCCTCGGAGCAATTCTGCAGCAGGTAAGAACACTGGAGAGAGTTCCTTCCACCTACCTGCTCCGTTTAGAAGTTCATTTTAGCAGGCCTATTCTTGTTGTAACCATTATTATTGAGGTGGAGAAATTTTGGGATCACTTTGATCTATGCTATATGCAATATAACTCCTGAATATTAAGTTAAAACATCTTGGTTTAAATACTTAGTTAAAAACTAATTGAAATGTGGGCATTTATACCAGGTTTTATAAGTTAGAGGCTTCTGTATTAATAAAAAATTAAAGTTTTGAGTCATTATTTTCATTTAAGTAAATTTTGCCCTGAAATTCCACTTACAAAAAGTAAGCAAGACGTTTTCATTGTTTTTAGTCCTGAGTCACCTAAACTATTGTCATAATAGTTTTATTCATTTACCATTTTATTGGTTTATGTAGGTGAAGTTGTGTAGTATATGTAATCACTCTTTGGTTGTTATAAACTAGAATATTTTTACCTACTGCATAGTTTAGTATGTGTTTTGCCCTGCATGCGGTTTGCTTTCTGAATGACTGCTTTCTTCTACTATTGGATATGTTGACATCAGTGACTTGTCGTTAAAGGAAATGAATATATAAAGTATTACCTCTGATCAGTCACCTTATAATCACAAGTGTAAGTATAAAAGTAGGTCATTAATTTCCTTAAAGTCAATGGTTTGTAACTCCTATATTTTTCATACTGACTTTGGGTCATAAATGTTGATTAGCATTCAAATCCACCATAGATGGTAATCCACCTCTTTTGTTTTTTTCCTAAAGCAGTAACATTTCCAAAGTTCTTAAATTTTATCATTTAAAAAAAAACGCTGCATATTTCCATCTATTATTCAAAGAATAACACTTTTAAGTCTATTTTTATCTATTCTCTCTTACATTCAAGACATGATCCTAAATGTTATGAAATAGAACACCATAATCTCTAGTTCTGGGGTGTTGTTAGTATGTATAGTGCCCCAGATAATAGAAAATCTGAGTATTTTTATATTTATTTCACTTTGAGAAATCTGGTTATATGTCATGTTAATTTATTTGCAAGCTTTGAATGTTAAGACTACCATTTTCTACTTTATAACAACATTAACATGCTAGTATGCAGCTAAGCTGTTCGAAAAGCATAAACTGTCTTAATATTTTTGATAGTACTTACTCAGAAAGAAGTCAAGTTATTAAAAGACCTTTCCAGTAGGAACTAACAGGAGAAATACTTTTCTGCCAGCCTTAAAAATGACTTGGTTTGGCTCCTTGATCCGTACGTTTGTGTTGTTAATAGAATTTAGGCCTGGACACTCTAGGAATTATAGTTAGCAGAGAAGAAAAGATTACATTTGGGGATAAACTGGCTGACTAATAACACTAATTGGAAGGTTGCTTTAGTTTGTTCTTATTTCCTGGTTTTCGGAATTTCAGGGACTTTGAATAAGTGGTTCTTCAGGAGCACTGGTAGCTACAAGGGGTAAACTTAGCTATCCAAGAAAATGAAACACAAAGTTATCAGAATTGATACTATTTATGGAGATAATTTATCTTGATTACTGAAAGGAAAGTTTGTAACCTAACATTTGGGCACCAAGTGACCAAGGATTTTTACTCTGAAACAAAAGTAGGTAATAATGATAACAATGATGTTGATAACATAATTGTTTTTGGAATCCTTTGACTAGAATAATATTGATTTTTTAAAAAATCTCTCTCTACTTTTTGCCTAATGTGGGCTTACTGTTTGATTAGAAATATGACAAATGCCGTGGCCATTCAGGGAAAAACGTTTAGCTATGTATATAAAGTTTTAATTCCCCAAATAAAGTTGGATAACATTTATTGAGCTCTAGTATATGCAAAACTAGCACTTCCTCTGTGGTCAATTGATACAGTTATTTTCATTAGAAGGCCAAAAGGCTGCCTGTTTTAGGTTAGGAAATAGCAAAAAGATCTAATGTTCTGTTTTCACGCCATGTACCAACCAGGTAGCCAATCTGAACCCTAAGGACCTCTCATATACCTTAAAGGACTATGTTTTTAAAGAGCTTCAAAGAGATTGGCCTGGATACAGTGAAATTGACAGACAGTCATTAGAGTCAGTGCTGTCAAGGTGAGATTTTTTTTTTTCTTTAAAAATGCTGCAAATAAAATTATTGTAGTCATTGTTATTTTAATGTCGAGCTGAGAAAAAAGTGAGGGTAAGCTTTCTCCCATGAAAATTTAAAAATCCTCTCCATAACTGGAACATGTGTGTCCTTTACAGAAAACTAAATCCGTCTCAGAGGGCTGCTAGCACCAGCCGTTCAGAATCTCCTGTATGTTCTAGCAGAGACGCTGCATCTTCTCCTCAGGTATTTTATGAAATTATATAAGCATAGTCCTGAAATGAACCTATGGGCCATCTAATTCAGTTCCTCTGATTTGTATGTGGGAGAAGTTAGGCCCAAAGAGGATGTACAGCTTGTCTACCCAAAGTCCCAGAGCTAGTTTACAGCAGAACTTGGCCTAGAGTTCATGGACCAGCTCTCAGCCCAGAACTCGCCTTTGCTGTACTGCAGAGCTTGTCTAAGTAGTGTCCTCCTTGCTTTTCCATTTTTAAAGGTTACAATTTGTTGTAAGATTCTCTACTTTTCCACTTGGTTAGTAACTAAAAAGACCTTCCAATCTACATGAGATTTCAGATTATACAGAAAATTGAAGATATTTAATTTTATCTGAAACATGTCCCAGAAAAATATTCTTGGGGGAAAATGTTTTTCAAATAAGCAAACAAAAAATTCCACCATATTCATGCATGTTTTCTTAAAGTATTTTTCAATTAGATCCCAATCAGAATACTACAGTTAGACTTTAATCCACTTCCGTTTCCCCCGTGATTCAATTTATCCTGGATAGTATTGGAGTTCAAGCCTGCTTGGTTCCCAGAAGACCCTACCGGCCTTGAACTCTCAGTTTCCCAAGTCTTTGGGACTGACAGTGGGACATACCTCTTTAACCCAGTACTGCTGACAGAGTGCTCCTCTCCCTGGACCCTCCTCCCAAGGATTAGGGAGACAGGACAGATGTACGGCAGACAGTAAGCCTGCCCTGGACAAAGCCTATTCACATGTCAGAAAATGTTAGCAGCCTATCATGAGGAACAGAGGAGGAACAAAATAAAAACAATTCTGTCCTTGTATATATACACAATGTATAGAAGCCTCAATTTTATTGCCACTTACCATGAAGTTGTTTATAGTTCTGATCTAATTATATACCAGGTGCCAAATCAATGGTGCTAAATTGAAATAGATTAAATTAATGGGATGATTAACTTATTTTCTCTCAAGCTGAAGTTTAAGCCACAGTATTTCATTGGATGTATGCTCTATACTTTTCAACTGTCTAAATGTTCTTTTTCATTTAAATACTGTTAACTGTTGTTGCTGGATTGGGCTAATATTAGCATGATCTTTAAAATTTTTTGAAACAGTAATTCCATATCATTTTTTATCCTCACCCAAGGATACATTTATTGATTTTTAGAGGGAGAGAGAGGAGGAGAGAACAATGCAAGAGAGAAACATCGATCAGTTGCCTCCCGTACATGCCTGATCAGGGATCGAACTTGTAGCTTTTTGGTGCACAGGACAATGCTCCAACCAACTGAGCCACCCAGTCAGGGCTCCATATTGTATTTATGGACCAAATATTAAGATTTATTTTCCAATCTAGTGAAAGGGAGGAAAATGAATAGTATTTCAACAATGATAGAGAGACTTAGAGAAATTACAATGAAGGCGTTGGCTGTTGCCATGTTCATACAGATGAAATAAATGACAGCCAAAATATTTATTGCTGGAGCATTTTAGCACTCTAGAGGAGATAAATAAGTGTAGGCTTACTGCCTTTTGCCTACCCTTATTAGTTCTGACAGAAAAATGGTGCAAACTGCTGGCCACCTCCCTTTAATGCTCTCCTGAGCAGCCTACTCTCTCAGGGAACTTAGGATGGGGCCATATAATCGAAAGAGAAGTACTCTAAGAAACATATATGAGGGGGAACTCCCCCAAAAATGGAATTTACTTATAAAAAATTGTATTTGTAAAAAATTTTGTATTTACTCTTGCATGTTTAAACTTGTCATCTTCAAAGTACTCTCCATTTGATGCAATACACATATCGAGACATTTTTTCCACTCCTAAAAACAGGTTTTGAACGGGTCGACTTTAAAGCCTTCAGCTGTTTTTTGTTTGTTTGTTTGTTTGTTTGTTTTACCTCTTCTACATCATTTCCCTTCGAGGACTTTTTTGTCATGTGGGGAAACAAAAAAAAAGTCGCTGGGGGCAAGATCAGATAAATAGGAGGAGTGTGGGGCTAGGGTGTCGTGCTGCTTTTGATCAAAAACAGCTGAACACTCAGTGCAGTGTGGGCAGGTGTGCTTGTAAATCACCCATCATGAAATGGGCAAATGCGTTGAAAGAATCTTCAAGAAAAATTCAGTGAGGCTGAACACAGCCTCTCACAACACCACCAGCTGGTACACTGACACAGAGGGGTTCCTGGAACACTCACCTAGCAGGGGAAGCCTTTACTACAAGGGGCCTGTCCTCCAGAAAATAATTCCTTTTTTGGTGGGGGGAGGGACATTTGCCGTTATACAGAGGTGGGCAAAAGTAGGTTAACAGCTGTTCCTATGGAAAAAGACATGCCAGTTATGATTATTATAATAACTTTATGAACTCAAAAGCATGTCACAGTGGCACAGTAAACCTACCTTTACCCACTCGTGTATTTGCCAGATTCTGCTTGTTTACATTGGACATGAGGATTTATTTCACTTTTGTTTTTGTGTCTTGTTTGTGTTTACTTAAACTTGAAGAAAGGTTTAACATAACACTAGTGACAAACTTAATTAAGTATGAATAAAATTACTCAGTTGTTCTTATGATAACCAGTGATGCATATATTGAATTTTAATGCAAACTGGCTCATATATTTTTCTGTTTCCCCTCCCCCTGTCCAGAAACGGCTTTTAGATTCAGATTTCATTGATCCGTTAATGAATAAAAAAGCTCGAATATCTCACTTGACAAACAGAGTGCCGCCAACATTGAATGGTCACATCAGTCCCACCAGTGAAAAATGCGCTGCAGGCCTCCCTCCGCCCCCGGGCGCTGCTGCCACGCCCACCGCTCCGCCGCTGCCTCCGACCCACCTGCCCGTCTCCAACCCTCCTCAGACTGCACACTCTAACTCCAATTCCCCGAGCACTCCAGAAGGCCGGGGGACTCAAGACCTACCTGTTGACAGTTTTAGCCAGAACAGTGGTATCTGTGAGGACCAGCAAGACAAATATACCTCTAGGACTTCTCTGGAAACCTTACCCTCTGATTCAGTTCTACTAAAGTGTCCAAACCCAGTAGAAGAAAACCATTCAATGTCTCACAAAAAGTCCAAAAAGAAGTCTAAAAAACACAAGGAAAAGGACCAAATGAAGAAACACGACACTGAGACAATTGAGGAAAATGAAGAGGATCTTAAAAGAGATGAGGACATTGCCAAGCTGAACAACTCCAGTCCAGATTCCAATGAAGGTATTTTATACTTGTAAAAACAGACTACAGGTGTAAATGAATGGGAAGAAGGGGCTGTCATGAGCGTGAAATTATGCTGTTCATCATTTGTAATGCTTTTTCATCTAAAGAGCTTCCCTTTAGTTCTTAATTTTAGGATTGTGTTTTGAGCAGGTTTTTTCTTGCATTTTCCTGCAGTCATTTTTGGTCCCTCTTCAGCCAACGACTAAATATATTTTTTATGAGTGTTAATAAGATTGTGAGTAACATTGGAAAATGACCCTGTGATCCTCCAGAGACCCCTTTTAAAGAAGGTGGGCTTTGTTGCTCTTTTCCATAACTGTGATGGTATCGTGCAACCTCCATGTGACCTCTTTTATGCCGTTCTTAAACTGATTTAACCAGACACACAATTAGCAATAAAAATATTCATTTCCTTCTTTGCCAAAGAAACAGGGTCACCCTCACTTTAATTAATAATGGCACACGGGAAATGTCAAATTCTTTATAAAACAGACAAGGTACAATTACATTTACAGATCCCATTACATCACCCTCATTCAGAGTAAAAGCAGTTTGTCTTGTGCAAGGCTGTTGACAGTTGGCTTCACAGATCTTAAGTTTTTTTTCAATTTTGAGAACACTGCTTTAAAAGTAAACTAAAATCAGTTGTTATTAGTAAAATTAATCAATTAATCATTTTAAAACTTTTGGAGCTATAAAAGCCAAATATCTAGAGACCCAAAGAAGCATAAAACAATGCTTTACCTCTAAAAAAAAAAAAAAAAAAAAGCTAACTAGTGGAAGGACTGCTTGCCTGGAGGTAGAGTGATTTTTAAAACCTAATGACAAAATTAGATTTTTTTTCTTTTTTTTTTTTTTTAAGGAGTTGTCCTCTAAAACTTAACATCATACATGGCAGCACATAGAAGATCCAAGCCTATCATTTAGCATTGCTGCCCTTTTTAAACCAAGCATAAGTCAGGCAAAACTCCCCAGGAAAATACAACTTTAGAAAATTTACTTTAATGAATAGAGTTTAAGGAGTATTGCCTTTCTGTAATTTGCCCACAATACCGAAAATCTGTAGTCTTTAAATTTAACTATTTTTACCATATGAGGGAAGCTTTGCTTGTGGAAAAGTATGATACAGTGCCTTTATTGACCTGGATTGAGTGTATTGTATGTCAAAGTATATCTGTTGAAATATGGGATCAGTATGGTCCTGTTGATATATAGTGGCCCAAGAGATGGGTATAAGCTTTTTCCCCTCAAACACTGCCGTACTTGAATTTGCCAGGTCAGGAAAAGACAAGAGGTAATAAAACCTCATGTTCAGAATTAGTAAACCAGGTTCTTGCATAGTTCCCACCCTCAGATGGTGATCCTGAGTCAGAGACTAGTGCTGGGAAGACTGTATCCTGGTATGTTGGGACCTTCTTAGAGTTGGAGACCTGGAAAAGTAGACCTAGTCTCTTTGCATCCTTCACTGAGGGTGTGGTATCTTTCAAGGACAATTGAGATCATTACAAACTGAGGACAGATCTAGACCCACATCCCCTGTATCCTTTGGAACTAATCTGGTGTCTGTGGCAAAGGAGACAGGGGGCATGCACTTGGTGCCTTTTCCTTTAAGACTTAGACTGCTGTAAAAACAAATTCTTGAGCCCAAGCCTGAACCAAATGTACAGTAGCCCCCCTTATCTCCAGTTTTGTTTTCTGTGATTCCAGTTTCCCAGTCAACTGTGGTCCAAAAATATTAAATGCAAAATTATAGAAATAAACAATTCATAAGTTTTAAATTGTGTGCTATTCTGAATAGCATGATAAAATCACACACCGCCGTGCTCTGTACTGCCCAGGATGTGAATCACCCCTCTATCCAGTGTCTCCACCCTGCGTGCACTCCCTGCCTGACAGTCACTTAGGAGCTGGCTGGGTTATCAGATCAGCTGTCTCTGTGTTGCAGGGCTTGTGTTCAAGTAACCCTTATTTTACTTAATGGCCCCACAGTGCATAGTGACGCTGATGATTCAGATAAGCCAAAGTGAAGCCATAAAGTGTACATGAAGTACGTAGAGGGAGAAACATGGTATATACAGGATTTGGTATTATCAGCAGTTTCAGGCATCTACTGGCATCTATTGGAACACATTGCCTATGGATGATGGGGGACGACTGTATATGTACATGAACATTAAGTCCACAGAGTGTGCATCTTTTGTTTGGTATGCTTTGTCCTTTGAAATATTAAACCAAGAAATTCTCAGATATTCACTTTTGTTTTATATTAAACATGTATGTTTTGCCAGCCCGCAGGGTTAGGATTTGAGTTATTTTCATTCTACTTTGAATAATAAAAAATTATCCTAGTAAAAAGTCAGAACATACCCTCTGGAAATGGCGCATTTAAACAAATGAAATGCTGAAGGATTTTATACACTTTCATAGCACAGTCCTGAATGACTAGCACTTTTATCTATTTGTCCTTTTGAAAACAAATCCGTGTTATTGTGAGGGTGAGAGATTAGAGGAGTATAAATCAGTGTTTAGTAATAACTTATTTTAAATTACTTTAAACCAATGGGAAAACTTACCCATTTCCACTGTCTGCATAGGAAAAGGGTAGCAGTAAAAATACAGTGACTAAAAGTCTGCTACCTGACTTCCTTGTCTCATCTGCCTGGTTTAAATCCTATGAAAAGTAGATGTGAATGTAAAATGTGTATCTCCCATTGTCTGGCTGCATCTGCCACCACAATCTTTGAATTGCTGGGCAGATGCCACAACTGTTGGTGGAAGAATAGAAGACTGACCCTGGGTTAAGATGGAATTCCTGCATTGTGCGGACACTGCGGTGGCCGGCGGCTTTCAATGCCTGGCGTCGGTTCTGCTGGCGCTGGTCATAGGGCCTCTATTGTTCGTGTTCAATTGTATTCCTTGCTCACTGTTGCTTATTGAGATGGAAGAAGGAATTTGAGGAAAAGTGTTCCAGATGTTTCTGATCTATTTTAGAATTATAGGCATTTTATAACCATACTGTTTGGTGAACACTTGGATTTTCTTTCTTTGTAGGAGTTAAAGAGGGTTGCACTGCCTCCATGGAGCCTTCTTCAACCATTGAACTCCCAGATTATTTGATGTAAGTTCGGATGTCTGCCATTGGGAGAAAACTGTTTAATTTTAGAAAGTTTGCAAATTCTTTTCCCATAATTTGCAAATCAGAAAAGTAAGAAGTTCCAGAAATAGTGTCCTGGAGCCACCCCTGCAATTGAAAGGCTGCCATTAAGCCTGCTCGTCACAAATCCACCCTTGTCAGCTTGAGCAGGTTGTGCCTCCCCCTGCACTGAGCCTTGCTCGGTGGCATTTAAGTATAGAGAAGCCTGTCCTTTGTTCCTGGGCCAGGCCAAGCGTTTGATTATGGAAGATTTCAGGGATCGGACTCTTTAAAGCTGACAGTCTATTAATGCACAGTCATTCCCTGCACATGTTACTGATAAAGTGCTTAAACCTCTGCAGTTCATCCAAAGTAGATATACATTGATTTTTATTTAAATAAAGCTCTGCCATCAAATTAATTTTAAGAGGAGAGAATAGTAAGATTTGATCATCTCACTTTAGTACAGGTTGTAATGTTTTTCTTGTTATGACAACAAGTTGCTAAATGCTGAGCTGGGGACATTTTTGAAACTGGCTATCACAGAAATTATAACTTGGACACATAATTCTAGCTTTTTTACAGACTCAAAGGCTTCTATAAGAAGTAAATAATTAAGTTGCAAGAGCCCAGAAAAATGGAGAGTGAAAGAGCAAACAGGTCTGACTGTCAATAGCTTAAAAAATGAACAGATATGCAAAATAGCTTGACTATCGAAGGGAAAATGAAATCTGGGCTGTACGAACATCTTTTCTCTCTTTGGTACCATCTCATGATGGACAAAGTTCAACTGTACTCTTTAGCCCTCCATGGCCGATGAAATGCTCGTCTCCAGAGAAGAGAACATTTTATACTTAAAATGTGTTACTTTTGCTTAACAGTAGTGTGAAAGCTATACTTATTGGGGAATGATACAGCAGGAAACCATAATGTTGGTTATCATCCCTTAACTAAAAGGAACCCTGGAAAGCATGCCGAGTGCTCTTTCATTTGGGGCAGTGTACGGTTTTACAGCCCTGTGGGGAGCTTTGAAAAGCTGCCACCACTTAGTTGGCCCCAGAAGGGCCAGTTGGGGGACAGCACCTGTCACAACTGATGATGGGGTTCACCCTTCCAACTGCAAACCCCACTTCTTAAAAGTGCTGTGAAAGTCGTCACCCCCTCCAATAATGGCTGCAGTGCTGTGCTCTCATTCTCTTGCAATTGACTTTGAATTCCTCTCTTTAGTCATAGTGATGTATGCTTGTTATATGTAACAGATCATGTAGAGAGACTGAAAAACAATGCTGACCTTGTCCCCATGGATTCAGGTTGTGTTTTGTCAATTTAATCAGTTAATTCTGTATTTTTTAAAAATATGTAATTTACTGGTTTAAGGATGGTCCCTGTATTTGCCTCAGTACATTTCTGTACATTTGTCATGTTTCTAGCTCTTTATAAATTATGAAAATATATAACCTATGTAATTGTTTGCTTCCTTTATTTAAGTAAAAGCAATTTATTTTAACCAGAACATTTTCTGAAAATATGAGAAAACATGGGTTTTTGGAAATATCACCAAAAATCTAAAACTTAAATTTAAGTTGCTTCATAAGAAGCCAAAAGACCATACTGTGAAACCTTAATGATCAGCTTCTGAATAACTTATACTTACTTAGAATGTTCCTAATTTTTATTTAATAAGAATACTTCTACCACTTCTGGTTGTGAATTATCCAAACTGTTTAAAATTCTATTCCATTACTGCATTAAGAGCCAACAGTAGAACTCATAATTTTTGGTAAAAAATTTTTGTTAAAATGCCAGTATAATCAAATAATCTTCTATAAAAGCAACACAACTGTTGGTCAGTTTATTTTTCCTAAGGAATTTATTAAATGAAATATTGAGGGTATAGTTTTGAGAAAACAGGATAAATATTTTGTATAACAAAGTGAACCTGCTTCTTGCAATCAGTTTGGCCATTTTCCTTACCCAAGCGTCTCCCGGGCACCTCCCCCACCCCCACTCGGGCCCCTCTGCTGTGCAGCGAGGGCAGCCTGCAGCCCTGTCTGCAGAGGGCTCTGCTCCTGCCTCGGCTGGCGGTGTTCCTGCTACAGCAAAGACACCAGCAGGCAGCCTTCAGTCAGCGTACGACCACTGTCTCGGTTATGCCTAGAAAATTAAACCTCCACTCTAACTCAGCTTGAATAAAATTATTAATGAGGACATTAAGGTTGCTCACTACATCACTTTTCTCACATTTCCAGCTAGGTATCTGTGCTATCATATTTTAAATAAAACTGGTCTGGTAGGATTATCTGAAACCATTTTGAAGAAGATGGAACCCCAAGGTCTTCCCACAGTGAAGAATATTATATACCCCCTGGGGCCATTCTGGATTTCCCACCACTTGCTTGAAATTGCTTTGAAATCTCAATTTTTATCTCAAAATATCAAGAGACTCTTCCATTCCATGATAGAAACACGGAGTGCCAGGACCCAGACCAGACAGACCCTGCTGTGATCGCGTTCCTCAGACCCACCAACAAATAATATTAACTCTGTTTTAATATTAAAATGCTGGTATAATTTACTTAGCACTGAATAAACTGACACTCTGAGAAAATGACCTTCATTCACCAGGTCCCTAGAAGTATTCATGCCCCAAAGTAGAACAGGTTTTTGACATTTTTATTAAGAAAGTAAGTCAGCCCTGACTGGTGTGGTTCAGTGGGTTGGGCATCGTCCTGCAAACCTAAAGGTCATCAGTTCAATTCCCAGTCAGGGCACATGCCTGGGTTGCAGGCCAGGTCCCTGGTTGGGGGTGTGCAAGGGACAACCAAGTGAAGTGTCTCATGTACATCAATGGGTTTTTTTTTTCCTCCCTCTTTTTCCCTCCCTTCTTCTCTAAAAATAAATAAATAGAATATTTTTTAAAAAAAGAATGTAAATCAGACTAATTGCACAATACTGCCTTGCTGTTACACATAGTATGACATGTTATATTACGTCATTTTAAAAAATGATAAACAATTTCCCTTTTGAATTTTATCTATTTGCCTTATCAGAAATGGGAGGAGAGGGTAGAGGCAGTAAGCCTGAGGCGCCTCGACGGCAGCGGGGATGAAAGGCCTAAAGGCAGGTTCCCTCATAAGGCAGCAGGTCTAGAGAGGGCTCTCACCTCAGCATTCAGTGACCGTGGTATTTCCCTGGTTTCTCGGACCCACCTAGTCCTTCCATCTCCATGTGATTCATCGTAGGCGTTGGCCTCTGCCTGCTAGTAAGTAGCGAATGACTTTGGATAGAAAAAAGGTTTGGAGGCTACATCTGTGTGTGTTATTTTCTTTTTACACAGTTTCACTTTAATTCTCTTGCCACCATGTCTTTTGTTATGTTTACTCTTCTTCATTGAAGCTCTTAAGCTCTTCTGTGGGATAGTATCACCTAAAAGGCCTTTGGAGGAGTGACATGGCTGTGTTTTATCCTTTTTCTTATCAGAAAATATATTGCTATTGTCTCCTACGAGCAACGCCAGAATTACAAGGATGACTTCAATGCCGAGTACGATGAGTACAGGGCCTTGCATGCCAGAATGGAGACTGTAGCTAGAAAATTTATCAAACTGGATGCGCAACGAAAGCGCCTTTCTCCGGGCTCCAAAGAGTATCAGGTAAATGCACTTGTTCCTGGGTGGACCAACTTTCAGATTTTATTTCCCTGCGCAGCCCAGCCCCCAGGCACCTGATTAGCCTTCGGAGCACGTCTTCTCCCCGGCCAGCTTCTCTGCAGCTTTTGGCTTTCATTTAAAATTAACAAAGAAACAAAATATTTGAATAGTTCTTGAAAATAAGTAAACACAATGAACCTGTATTTCCGGCAATGGAAAAAATAACCTTTTTATTTCACATAATATGTGTAAGATATGTAACATATGCTTATACATTTACTGTAATATAATGTATAGTGTATTGAGAAAAATACCAAACACAACTAAATAGGGGAAAAAGGATGGCTTCCAGATTCCTGAAAATATCTTATTGCACTGCCAATCAACTCAGACTATAGTTCCTAGATCTGGTGCTATTTCCCAAAACTGCTATTTCAAGTAAATATTTTAATTAATTTTTAAAAATAACCTCAGCCTGGCATAGAATAGGGAAGATATAGACATAGAATATAATGGGGGCTTACCACCACAGAAGCTTGGGGTTTAAGTGAAGAAAAGGTTGGTGCATCTAGCTAGTCCAGAGACACACCTTTGTTAGCAGGTATTAATCAGTTTTTGCTCCCCTACATTAAGTGGCGACATTACTACAGCTCACAAAGAGCAGTAGAAGCCTGGCCTGACTGTTCTCAGAGTTTTTACAAAAGAATTACTGTAAGTGACTGTTTCTTTGCGTTGGCCGGGACACTGTGTCACACTGCAGTGGCATGGATGGTGCCCCATCCGGGCCCACTAGCACTGTTCTGACAGGCACCTCAGTGACAGAAGGGACTGGTTTTCCCACAGTGGGGAAATCAGCCTGAGCATGCCCGAGCCCTAGGGATTCATTGTGTCTTCTGTTAGTGGGCCTTAATCTCTTAAACAAGCTGTCTAGAATTATAGAACATTTTGCCAGAGGAGCTGGTGTGTGAGGGTGCCAAAGGTCGGTAATATGGCAGTTTCAGGTTTTTTCTATGTAGTTACTTACCAGTGTGCCATGATTATATTTCAAGTGTAATTCCAAGGATCGCTTAGTGGTCAGGAGCAGGCTCCAGAGCCAGAATGCCTGGGTTTGATTCCCAGCTCCTACCATTTATAGTGTGTGACCTTGGGCAAGTTATTTAACTTGCTTCAAAATTCCCATCCATAAAATGAGGTGATTATAGACTTGTGCAGAATAAATGTAAACATTTGGAAACTGCTTAGATGCATCATACATCAGGTTATACAGCACATAAGGTTTAGGTGTTTTCCCCAGCCACCCAGTTCCCTCCATAGAGGGAAATCAGTAGTACTGAGTTTCCAATGTATTCTTTTAGAGGTGTGTGTGTAAGGTGTATATACACAAGCAGATTCACACATATACCATATGTAATTAAATCTAAGATGTCATCCGTTATACGTTGCACCATTGTCTTATGTTCCAGTAAGTTAAACGATGATACATTATTATTTACCTGATTGCACTAAAATGAGAAGACCTGCAACCAAGAAGTAATGAAGTTCTTAGAATATAGTATTATTCTATTTTTCCCCTTTTAAACAAATGATATCAAACTACAGAAATTGCTCTGCACTTTGCTTTTTTCACTGAACAATATAACACATCTTAGAGAATTTTTTCATGTAAGTACATAAACACTTCCCCCTTTTTAAATGGTCTCTTAGTATTCCTTTGCATGAATTAACGGACACTTAGATTTTGTTTACTGTCTTTTGCTTTACAAACAGTGCTGCAGCAAGTCATTTCACTCAGGCACAAGTAAATCTGAAAGAAAAGTGTAAGTTCCAAGTCAGTTTTGCATTTGCTATATTGATAGCAGTTGCCAAATTGCCTTCCTTAAAGATTGTACCAATTTAAATTTCCATCATCAGCATTTCCCACACCCTTGCCAAATGTGTGTTAACCTTATACTGCAAACAAAAGAAGTTCGCTTCTGATCTGTGATTTTTAATTTTGTAGAATATTCATGAAGAAGTCTTACAAGAATATCAGAAGATCAAGCAGGTAGATACCATCACAGTTCATTTTCTGACATAAAGTTGGGAAGTAATTACAAATTCTGCAGCCTGATCCTCACTGTTTTGTTTTGTTTTGTTTTGTTTTCCTTCACAGTCTAGTCCCAATTACCATGAAGAAAAATACAGATGCGAGTACCTTCATAACAAGCTGGCTCACATCAAAAGACTGATAGGTGAATTTGACCAACAGCAAGCGGAGTCATGGCACTAGAGCTCCGCTTGGACCGGAAGATGTGAATGAACTGAAGCTTATTTATTTAAAATTCCAAATGAGTTGCTCTAAGATTCTAAAAAAACGAAACTTTACCTATTGAAAGTTTCAGTATTTGTAAACTTGAGTTACCCTCCTCCCCACCCTGCCCCCGCCACTGTTCTTTGCTTCCCTGTATTTTTGAAGTTGCGTTTTCTGCTCCTTTTTTCCCCCCTGTAGACTTGTGTTTGTCAATAGAAGTAATTTTTTTTTAGATATTTGGGATCCAGTATCTATACTTCCAATCAGTTTTTTCTTAAAAACTTGTTTGTAATTAGAAATGATTTTTTTAGATATTGGGGATCCAGTGTCCACACTTCAAAGTTATGTGTGTTTAAAAAAAAAAACAACAAAAAACAGTAATGTGCAAGGTGAAATGCTTTTGGATAAACATAAGCCTATTTTCTGACCTTTCTTAATGCGAACTCTTTGCCTTAAATGGTAGGATATTTAGAAATTTGCACAAAATAAAAAAAATAATAAAACATTGTTTTGGAGGGTTAAGAAATAGGAAGGTCTATGAGGATGTGTGTGCGTGTAGCTCCACATACACATATGTATATACAGGTTGACTTGACCTAGAACAGTAAATCCACCCTGCAAGTTAACCCCCCATTGCAATGATTGCCTTAAGGTGTTTGCTAGTTGTGTACATAGTGTGGTTAATCATTAGCTACACTGCTTCCCACCTGATTGGAGCAGTGGGAAGCACACTGTGGCCTACCAGCGTCTGAAAGTGTGTGCGCGACCAGTTGTATGTGTGCAGAGGTGGTGTGGGTGTGAGCGTGCATGAAGGACAAAAAGCTGCTACTCTCAGTAGGCCAAACGCTCAGGTTAAACAACTGACGAGTGTTACTGTAGGGGTTTTTTTTCCTGTCAAATTGCTACTTCTATTGTGGAAGACAAAAGCATTTCCATTTCAGCAGTTTGTTAGCATCATTGTTGGGAAAAATTGATATGTTATGAAAATGAAACAAATCTATAGTTTTGGGGCACAATTATAAAATTAAATATGTAGGTGACCTATTTATATACTGCTATAAAGTATTTTTTTGAAGAGCGATATGCAAAGAAATTATTACCTACATGAAATGTATATTTAAAGATTTTCTTTCTTCATCCTGTGTACCAGGAATATAAAAAAAAGAATGGATATATTTAACTATTACATACTGTGATTCATCAAACAGCACAAACTTTCATTTCATGGAGTTTATCTGTTGACGTCAATTTAAACTATCACTTGTTTTATCATGTGGGAACATACGTTATGTCAAAAATGTAAGAATTTTGAACTAATGTTAATTCAAGTTGTGTTGTCTTACCGTATTGTCTTTTCAAAGTGCTGCCAGTTAAAAAGGGAAGCATTATGTTTACAAATGTGTTTTGAAATGTTTGCCAAAATTTTTGGTAGTATCTTTAATAAAGATGTTTGTCTCCAGCATCCAAAAAAACAAATAAATAACTTTGTTGTGTATCGCTGTAAACCAGAAAAATGTTAGTATCTAGGAAACCTGAGAGAGCACGTAGATGAACTTCTCTCTTTGGAGTTCTTCTAAAACATTAACTGGAAAGAGTAGATAATATCGTAAAAGTATACAAAAGCATACAAACTATACAAAGACTAAAACAAGACCCTGCACACTATAGCTCTATAACATTACTGTAGAAATTTAATTTCTGTGTAGCATAGACCTCCTAGGGAATTCACTTTCTTTTCACGTTGAGATCCCAGGTGCTTTCCTTTTACCTCAGAATTGGTACAATCATTACATGTTCATGATTTCAAGCTTTCGGTTGAAAAAAAGATAGGAAAGGAAACTTAATTGGGGGTAAATTTGGTCCTCACATTATTAAGGTGAAGTCTGCTGAGGAATGTGTCTGTAGGTAATGACCTCATGGGTGTTATTTCTTGGGCATCTTGGCCTTTTAATCAAAGACGGTATGCTGCTATTTGCTGTGAGTGGTGTTTCTCAAAAACAAGGTGCTGGGACCACTTATATCACCCATATTAAAATCTCTGGGTATAGGGCCCAGGTGTCCATCCACATATTCATAAGTATCCTCCAGGTGACTTTTGCAAGCTAAAGTATGAGAACGATTCATTGGCTCAGATACAGTGCTAATAGGTCTCTAAATCTCAAAGTCTTGAATGTTCAAGTTCAACTATTGGCATTTTTTTTTAAGCCCATCCCTATCAGCAAGTGCACATCACTTTTCCCTCTGCAAGATGTGAGGCATCCTCTCTGTTGTTTCACTGCCAACTCATAATTTGGAATTTGTTTACAAACAAGTTTTCTAGTTGGTTAATTATTAGCCCTTGGAGCTCCTGCCCACCTACATAGTATACCTTATGGTTTACAAATTGGGTAAGAACAGAAGCTGGAGATGCTTTACAAAAATCCGGCATCACACACCCATAGACTTGACCACCTACCTATAAAAGCCTTAATTTAGATGTTTGTTGTGCTCCTGGGGAAGATGCTTACAAAATGTGTTATCTATCAGTTGTAAATCTGAGAGCTGTAAATCTCTGAACCTGCTATAACCTGAGGCTGCATCTCTTTTGAAGAAGGGCATAAGCCTATTAAAATATTTATAATGATTATTCACCTCCTACTCTTAGCTGTTTAGATACTCTCAAATAATTACTACAGGAATGGGTGGTCACTTAGTATCAGTTACCCTGATCGAAGAATGTATTTAGGTTTTTTCTTTAAAGAAACATTAAGTGTAAACAGCATTGTCAAGATGAGTGAGTTATGCTGTTATATTTTCATCACATTTCATCTAAAATAATTTGAAGCACCCTTGAAGATTTTTACCAACGCTCATGAATTCTAGATCAAATGAGTAGTTGATTTAATTCAAACCAAAAAGAACATTAACTAGATGTGGTTTGGTTTTTTACGTGGGAATTTCATTTCCTATCTTGTGGGTTTTTATTTCCCATGGAATAATTTAGAGGGCTAACTTTCAACTCTAAGTAGTGATAGATGTTCACTACTGGCTCTCTCAAAAGTAATTGTTGGGGTCAGTTTAAATCATTGCTCCATGCAGTGATTATAAAAATTCAGTATTAATTTTCTTTCATCCCTGATTGACCTTTTAACTGTTAGAGCAATTTTCTTTTTCCTTAAAGTAATTCTTATGTAAAACGAATGCATACTTGCATGTTGGGAGCAAGGTGTTGAGATGAGGTTTAGACACAAATGGCCCATTAGTTCCAACACTGCTTGGTTGCCTTACCCTTTGCATAACTTTATTTGCTTCTGGAACTTTCCTGAAATTTTAGCCAGTTCATTGTCTTTCTGGCAGTATGACTGTTGAGTCTCGTATTCTTGGTATAGCCTTTACTACTTTTGAAGTTCTTACAGTTTATTACTTGCGTAAGTGTTACTAAATCCTTTTCTTACCTGTACCGGATGGGGGGAAATTTATAGCCAGCACTTTGAGAGGAACATTTTGGGAAAGGATATTTAACTGACACTACTAAATGAAGGCAACAGAAGATGTTATCAATGGTCTTTGTAACCTGAAAACTGAACAAGGCTGTGAGGCTCATTTCAAAATATTTTGAAGTGTTAAAAATTATATCTCTGTGCTTCTATCTATATATTCATGTTTCTCAGTTGTTACAACCAAACCATATTAGGACCCCTGAAGATAAAATATCACAGGGACTTTTCAGTTGTTACTGAGCTCAGCAGCTGTGACCCCTGTTGTTCTACACCAATTTCAGTTCAATAAAAATGTTAACATTGCAATTCTGGTAGTTGTTTTTTCTTTGTCTCATTTCAAATCCTTAACTTTGTCTTTTAAAAAAAGCGGAAAAAAAAAAACCCCTCATCACAAAGTGCTTTCTGGTGCCCTAATGTAAGCGATCTTCCTGGGACTGACATTGTCTGTTGGTGACTCCACAAAGCTGAGTGGGGTGTCTGCCCCGGGCGACTGCCTGTGTGAGGAGTTTAGGACATACCCTCCACAGGCAACATCTGCGAGGGGGACAGTAATGATAGCGTCTACTGAGGGTTTCCTGTGAGTTACAGACTCATTTGCATGCATTGTCCCATTTCTCCTCACCAAAAACCCATTTTATTGTCAAGTAAATTAGGCCTCGAGACGTTAAGAAACTTGCCCATCGCCCAGCTAGGACAGCGGAAGCTGAGAAGCCTGATCCCACATCTGTGTGCTGTGTCCACTTCCCCGTACAACCCCCACATGGCGGTGCCTGTTTAGGGTTAGAATGACCTTCACGAAGTGTGCGTTCTAGTAACATCAGGCAGGCTAGACAAACTGTTTTGATTCAAAGGAGACAAGAATGTGGAGTTTGGGGGTGATGTCTCCTGCATTATTCTCAGTGGGTTTATTTTATCAGAACTGCTAGATAAATTTGAAGGAGGCCAAATACTTATTTGAGAAAAAGCTATGTTTTTCTTTGAGTGTGTGCGGTCTTAACAATGGGCTGTTTGAAGGAGACTGGGGCAGTGCAGGTAGAGATAGGAGACAGGGGTACAGTCTTAGAACCACACCATTTTCAAACTAAAAGTCTGTCTCTCTAACAGCAGACTAGTTCTAGGAAATATTCCGCCTGAATTTGACATACGGACATTCTCCTGGATCCTTAACCTCCCATTTCTATAAGTTTTCTGAAGGAATAATGGAGGAGGAAAAGAAGAAAGCCTTATGCATTGCTATTCAAGACCTAGAATGTGTAGTGCCAGCAGCGATTCTAGTTAGGTTTGCGAGGAGCCTCGAGGTCAAATGAGATTTCTAAGGCTGCAATTGTGGGAGCCGCCCTCCTCCACCAGCCATGTAAAACGGTGCTTGTCTCCTAACCCCTTTCCTCAGCTGCAAAGTGAAAATATGCCTTCTTACTGGGTATGAAAGAAGCTTAATTATTGTTTATAAAGCACTTGGGAGTTCCATGGAAAACAGCTCTCTAAATTATATATTATGTGCTGAATGCAATACAGAGAATTTGTTTGGAGCATTATTTTCCAGGTGACAATGGGCCCATTTTGACTGATTGCAAAGGGGACAAAGGCAGAGAGAGGCTTGAGGTTTCCAGGTGGAGTGTTTGAGGTTTGTTTATTGAAACCCGCCCCACTGGTTTTATCTTTCTGCTACAGGACAGGAGGCCAGCAGAGGCAGTAGATGGCTCTGATATTTTATGATTGCTTAATTCTCAGGTTGGGGTCAGATGATTCTGCTGTGTGTGACAGTGGAGATGTGTCATGTACAACTCCTGCCTGATTAATTCAACTGGCCAGCCAAGCTGGTTTGTCTTACTGTAATCAGATGCTTGATACGATGTAGGCATTTGTAGATGGACGATAAAAATCCCGTACCGGGTCTGCGAAATGAAGGAGAGGGCTTCCTAAAGCTGAGCTTGCGTAATTAGCCTCCAAGTCTGAGTTCTGAGGCTGGGCTTCCAGCGGAATGGCCGGCTGCCTTCCTGCATTTCATGGATTCCAGTGGGCTTGCAGAATTCTAGACAGGCAGCACGATCCACCTTGCCGGCCTCATCTGCTCAACTCCCGCTCTGCACACCAGGCACACAGGCCGGCCTGCAGGTCCCGCAGTAACCCCTGCCTCCCCCATCCCGTCCGCACGGCCAGCTCTGCCCTCCAGCCCTTCCTCGCTTAGCTAGTCCTCCTCCCCCTTAAGATCTCTGCCCAAAAATCGCTTTCCAGGAAGCCTTCCCCTACCCTTCAGACGAACTCAGGTCTCCCTGGTAGAGGCTCTCATTTCTCTTTGACTTCTCCTTTATGGCACTTATGATAATTGTACCTAAATGGTAACTATATTATTACTAATTAACTAAGTAGAGACTGTCTTGTTCACTAGGGCGTCCCCAGCTCCTGGCGTAGTGTCTGGCCTACAGAAGGTACTCAGTAACAATATTTTGGAAGAATGAATGAAGCAGGCTATTCACATATGTCATTTAAAATTCATGTGGCCAGAAAACTTGGATTACTGCAAGAGTCTGCTGTATCGTTCATTTGTGCCTTGCTGCATTCTCTTCCCAGAGTCATGATTTAGGAATGGCATACTGACTTGACTTTGGAAATAACTTTGCCATGATGAACTGACTGGACACCTTCAAAGGGGACACCTCTTTCCAACACTGGCATTCACCGCTCGAGTCACCTCTGGAATATGAGAATCTATTTTAGTCTGTAATGGTTTGGAATATAAAAATGAAAAGGTTTAAAAAGCTACTTTCATTCTAACCGACAGATTCTAATTTCATTTCCTAATTATTTTTTTCAATATCTTGTCTCTCACTTTCAGTGATGTGACGGAGGACAGCGGTCTAAAGAAAGTGCTGTATAGCTATTTCCCATCTTCTTTAAATCACCCCTAGCCTGACGTTTCTTTAAATTTGACTGGTGCTTTTATTGACATTTATTTTATGCCTAGCACTTCTGTAACCTCCTCAGCAGTATACATATTGAGGATAATCAGTGGCCTTTGGGATTCCTGTAACAATAGAGCTAACAGAGCCCACAAACAGTGTCCGGAACAACTGCTTTCATTTCACAGACAATGAGACGAAGAAGTTTGAGTGACAGCCCACAGTAGGGCTAGATGTGGCCCCAGGAGCCTACATGCCCTTCCTAGAGGGCGCCTGAAAGGGGTACAGAGAGGGATGGGTAAAGTGCCAGACAAGACGTGACATGCACAGCAGTTCAGAGCACGGTTTACAGAGCTCTCCTGCCTCCGTTTCCCACCGTGCAAGGGATGGTACCCACAAGGTTGCTGTGATAACATATGTAGAGTGGTACATGACATCCAGTATGTTTTCTATACATATTTTTATGACTTATTTTCTAATTATTTTTTTCCCATCTTTATTTCAATTTAGACAGTTTTAAGCAACATACAAGCAGCCACCCAGAACTGAAAACTCCATTGGGTTAATTTAGATTTTTCATAACAGTGATCAAGCCCATATGTTAGATAAACCCATCCCAAAACGTGTAAAAGTCTCTGCTCCCAATTGCTCTGTGAACTAATGTTTTTCTGTGAATCTTTTCAAATTCCACATTAGTGGCCCTAAATAGCATGGCTACCAGTAAGGGTTAAAGGGTTGATGCATTTGTTCCAAACTTGAGCATATTCTCTATTAATTCTTTCCCCCACTTATCTTCATAGGGGAGAGTTTTTAAAAGTGCCTCATTTTCTGTCAGCTTAAGTGCTCTTTGCCCCTTAGTTCCTAGAGGGGGTTGACGCGGTTCTCTTCAGGGAAGATGCTTCGGGGACAAGTCTGCTGTGAAAATGACTCTGTCTTTGTAAGCTTTTCTTTCTCCTCTCAAGGAAAGAGTTCGTTTAAGTAAGCTTTGCCAAAGGAGTGCCAGGAGGATCTCCAGGGGTCTCGTGGCCACCTGAGCTACAGAACGCTGCAGCTGAGGACGGCTATAAAGGGACACTGGGGACCGCTGGCGAAGCTGCCTCCTATCTACCCTTATCCTCCCTGCCTCCCTCTCTGCCCCAGTTGACACATTTTCGTTGCTGTGGAAGCCAATTATCCCCACCTGCTCCTCCCTTTTAGTCTCACCTGAATGAACTAATGTGGTTTTTCCTGTTAATGTGCACATCTTATCATTTTTCCTCTGTCTTTGGTTAAAGACGACTTGGCTTATAGATAGTGAGACGGCCTGTTCAGAACCAGGGACCGACAAGCAAGACACGAAAAAGCTGGGAAGTGCCGTGACAGGTGTGGCTCTGTTGGTTGGGCCTTGTCCCGCAGAGTCGCCCGTTTGATTCCTGATCAGGGCACATGCCTAGGTTGCAGGTTTGGTCCCCGGTCCCCCGGTTGGGGCACGTACAAGAGATAACCCATCGATGTTTCCCTCCCTCTCTTTCTCTCTCCCTTCCCCTCTCTCTAAAAAATAATAATAATAATAATTTTTTTAAGAAAAGTTTGGGAAGTATAGTTGAAAATGCTTTGCGATCGAGAGGGCAAAGAATGGCATGTGCAGTCCCGCGTCCCGGGTCTGGGTCCTGGTTCTGAGACTGACCAACCTGTGACCCAAGGCCATTTGTCCGAACCCCTTCCATCATCTCTTCTCAACTAGAATAATACCTGTTGTACATGTCATGCTTAAGTGAAGATTAGAGATTGTTGCATTCAACCAGAGGGACTGGGTGGGGCGCTCATAAAGCAACCCTGTTTATTCTCACGTGTCCCTATAAACCTTTGGTGGCTGTTTCCCTACCCTCAGCAGTAAAATCTAGGCCAGGTCTTATAATTCCTCTGGGACAACTCTGAAATCATTCTGTGGTCAGTTTTAGCATAGGTCTCATTTCAGTAACTAACAAGACTAGTCTTATATAATAGCCAAAGCTCTGAAATGCATTTAAAATAAAAGCTGTTCCACTCTTTCAGCTTAAGGCCTGCTCTGGCTGAAAGTCAAGAGTGCCCCTTGCCCTACTCCCACCACTCAGTGTCCCCAGCGTTGAAGGAGCAGAGACAGGGAGGAGAGAGAAGGCACGGAAGGGGTCGTATTTGACAGCACCTCAGAAATCTGGCGGTGGCTTCTTCTGGGCACTGCCGGGGCCTGTCCCGGGAACTTGGGAGGGCGCCCTGCTGAGCTTCTGCAGCCTTCCGGGGTGTTGCAGGGCCTGTCCTCTGGCCGGGCCTCTGATACTACCTCTCACCCCTTCCCACCCCCTGCCACTTCTTCAGGCCGGAAGCCAGTCGCTTAGGGCTCCTCTCTAAAGGAGCATGGCTAACG